GACTGAGGAGAAAGGGCCGCTCCGCGCCGGCCTCAGGCTCCAGTCCGCGCCGCAGAATTAAATTCCTCGAAACCTCGCCTCCCTCCGCAACCTGTGGTGTCCTCCTCTGCCCGGCAACTGATGACGTCACACACCGGCCCTCCCTGAATGGATGCGCTTTATCGGTAACCCCACCCCTTGCCCAGAGAGGACCCGGGCGGGGCACCGTGCGCGCTCCGGGAAAAAGGATCGGAGCGATCGAGCAGGCGCGCGCGGGGCACTACAGCGCCTCTGACCACGAGTTTGCACCTTCTGCGGCCTCGCTGGCCCTGTGGTCCACGGTAAGGCCATGCTCTTTGGAGCACTGCGCTGGCCGGGGAGGGTGGAGTACAGGTGGGCCGCAGGAAGAAGAAAATTTAGGAGAGGCGGTGCTTCCACTGCAAATGCTAAAGAAGACGTCGGCGAGCCGCTGCAAAGTGCACCGTGAAAGACGCTTAGCCTTTGGAAGGGCCGGAAACGGGAGAAACCGCAGTGCAAAACACCTTTTTATTATAAATATCAAGAACCCACAGGGTATTCAGGAGCCGACCTAAGCCTCTGGTCACAGAGCAGTTGAGACTGCCCTGTGTTCTGAATATTTCTCCTCCTTTCCAGAGCACCGTCTTACACCAAAGCACCAACCTGGCCATAAACCAGTTACACTGCGAGTGAGGCGCCCCGTCGGTCTTCCTGGAGGTCTGCACTACTAAGAGCAGCTGCGAGAGGACGCTAACGCCCTTGGCAAATGTGAGCACACCAGGGGCTCGCACGGAACTCCCCTAGCGGCAGCCGCGCGCCGTGCAGCTCTGCCGGGTCTCCCCAGTTCTCCAGGGGAGCTGGAGACTGGGAAAGGAAGGGAGCGCGCAGATCCGAGGAGCCTTCACTCTGGAGCGCGCTCAGGAGCCTGCACAGGGCCCCGCACCATGTCCCAGTAGCGCCCCTCCATCGCCATGAGCTGCTGGTGGGTTCCCTGCTCACAGATGGCGCCTTCTTTCAGCAACAGGATGTGGTTAGCCGGCTCCGCCAGGCTCAGCTGCTGCGTGATGAGCAGCACCGAGCGAGAGCAGCGCTCCGGGCTGGCGTAGAGGAGCTGCCGCACCTGCGGGGAGAGGCGCACGGGTCAGGGCCTGGCCAGCGGCGCCAGGCACGGTGGGGCTTCCTGGTCTTTGTGCTTCTCTGCCAAAACTTTTTTTTTTTTCTGCTAAGGAAGAGTTGAAGGGGTCTAACTTTGTGTTACAAAGAACATGAACGTTCAACTCAGCCGGCCTGCAGTTGGGTGGAGACTCTGCTACTGGAGCAGGTCTGCAACCTCCTTAGTCACCCAAAGACTGAGGAGGGCAGCACCCACCACAAAGCATCATGATGGATGGGGGGAGCATGCGCCGCACAAGTACAACCGCGAGGTTAAAATTATTAGAGCAGTCTTTGCCTTACGTTTGGCGTTAGAGGCTGAAAGTCGGTCCGTACACAGACTGACCAGTTTGGGTCTCTTGGGGAAATACTAATGGGGACTGAGCCCTCCAAGCACAGGTTGGGATCATGATATTGGGGGAACTAACACGGGACGAGGAAAAGACTCACTGGGGTCCAGACCCTAAGACGGCGACTCGCTTACCTGTAACTGACTGTGTTTGTCCAGGGCACTGGTGGCATCGTCCAGGATGAGGACACGGGGTTTCCTGATGAGTGCTCGGGCCAGAGCCACGGCCTGGCGCTGACCTCCTGACAGCTGGCTCCCACCCTCGCCTGCATCTGCACAGCCCAGAGCCCAGGTGAGACCTGGAGAGCCACGCGTGGGCTCAAGTGCACACACAGCTGACAGGTGCGGCTGCAGGACAGGGGGTGGGGAGGTGGACGGAGCTCTGGGGACCAGGATGAAGCAGCCGTGGGAACAACGTCTGACAGCTTCTAGCTGAGGCCCCCGGGGAGGAGAAACTGCGTCTCCATAAGGGCCTCCGTGAGGGTCAGCTGTCTGGTGAAGAGACAGTACCTGTGTCGTAGTCCTGAGGAAGTTCCGAGATGAAGCTGTGGGCTCCGGACTTCCGCGCGGCAATTTTGACTTCTTCCAGAGTTGGCTCTGGGGTGAGGCCATAGGCAATATTTTCCCGAAGGCTTCTTCCAAACAGCCGAGGCTCTTGTCCGACAGCAACCACCTGATGTGAAATGCAAGGCCCTCAGGTATGATTATCTGGAAACTAAACGCTCAAATCCGAGAGCCAATCAAACATTTGGCCTGTCTGCTCTGGACCCCGCTCCCAGCTCCACCCAAGGCCTCCCATGCCCCTAACCCTCCGTTCACGAGCCCAGCGAGAACGCTCTCCTTCCTTATGCTGCACCCCACTCACCTGTCTGTGCAGGTAATGGTGCTCATACTGAGGCAGGGGCTTCCCAGCCAGCAGCACCTGGCCCTCCGTGGGCTGGTACAGATTCTGCAGCAGGGCAGCCGCGGTGCTCTTCCCAGAGCCATTGGGTCCCACCAGGGCCGTCACCTCCCCGGGTCGCAGGGTGAATGTCAACCCCTGGATGCCACAGAATCACAAAACAAACGGCAGTTTGAGGCCTCTAGGATTGAAACTTTCCTGTTCTGTGGCATAGAATGGAGTCTCTCTCCCCAGCAAATAAAGGGTGAATGGAGAAACACAGCAAACACAGCAACTCCTGCCTCCCACATACACAGACTTCTCGGATGATGTCTCCTCGTGAAGGGGAGGTGGAGAATGAGGTAAAGGCAAGGGCACCACTACGCCGCACGCTTGATACCACTAACCAACCGAAGCTAAGAAAACCACATTCCAAATCACAGGAGAGAAAACGGAAAGACGAGGGGCGATTTCTGTGGCAATTCTTTGGAAGGTGAGAACCGTCGCGTTCAACCCCCTACTACTTGGAAACCCAGACTTTTAACAGATGCCACGAATGGACTGGACGAGGTTAATGAGGACCAAAGAAAGTTAAAGCAGGAAGAGAGTTTCGGACGTCAAAGGGGAAGAGGGATGGGTAGGACACAGGGATCATAAGCTATACCTGCAGCACCAAGACATCGGGGTTGCTTGGGTAGGAAAAGGAGACATCTTGGAACTGGACGAGGCCGTCCATGCTCAAGGGAGCCAGCGGACCGCTGGGTGGACATTGAGGGGTCCGGTCCAGGTATTCAAGTACTTTCTCTGAGGAGCCCATGGCCTTCTGTACGCTGGGATACTGGTGCAGCAGTACCTGGCGGGGAGCGAAACGGAGAGAGGCTTCAGTTGCTCTGAGAAGGTACGGGATGAAGGACCGTGACAGGCAGGGATGGGACAGGGAAGGGACAGCATGGCGTGGAGTGGCCTCACCCCAACAGCCGAGATGAACTGGTTCTGGTAGAGAACAAATGTGACGAGCTTTCCACTAGTGACAGCCCCGCCTGTCACCAGCTTGCCACCGATGTACAGCACGGCCACCTTCAGCAGCATCCCCGAGACCTACAGAGACCGACAGAAAAAGGATCGTGGTAAAAAAAAAAAAAAAAGAGGGGCTCCAATAATCAGAGATTAGCACTACAGACATATAAAGTCCTTTTCTCTCAAACGAGAGCAGACTTGGGAGACAGAAAGAAGAGTGAGCCATAGAGGAGCCGGGGTTCTGGCACGGGTCACAGGTCCTCCGTCTGTGTCACCACCACCAGCATCTTGCTTGGAGAGAAACTTAGGCTTCACCAAAAGCTTTCATGAAAACGCTATCAGCTAATACTCATATTAAAAGGCCTCACTAAAGAAGGTGCTAGACTTCTCTTTTTAAAACGAGGAAGAGCCTCAGCAAAGAGTCTCCCATCACACGGCTATAGGCACGGAGCTAACAAACAGCAGGAGCAGCGCTGTGAGCCTGTGGTTCCTGCTTGGGCTCTCATCCCCCATCCCGGGCACCCTCCACTCCCGGCGGAGCCCCTGGCACACTGAGCCTGGGCTTGCTAGGTTGGAAGCACTGCCGCTGCCTTTGGCTCTGAGGCGGGAGGGAAGCAGGACTGGGTGAGGGCATGGAGTGAGGCATCTTAGGGCAGGGCCCAGGCCATCAGGTCCGGGTACTCACAGTGTTGGCCCACTGATTGACTACATAGGCCAAAGCCACCTTCCGGCTGAGGGTCTTCATGTCCGCCAGCTTCTGCCTGAACTTCTGGGCCTCACCCTCCTCATTGGCAAAGCTCCGGACTGTAGGCATAGCCGACAGGGCCTCGATGGCCACCTGGCTGGACTGTGCCAGAAGTTCCGACTCCTGTGCTCCCAGCGACTGTGAGACACAGACGTGAGACATCACACAGTGTCAGCCCGGGGTCACCAAGAGCAGAGCGGCCGCCTTGGAAATCCCAGGTGATAAGGGGGGGACAGAGCAGTACGGGGCACATCAATGCCCCTGCTAAAGATGCAGGGGAGAGGAAGGTGCGCAGAATGTGTCTGAGGTCATATTCTTTTCTTTCTCGGTACCAGGAATCAAACTCAGGACCTGTGATTGCAAGGCAGGCCCAGTGACACTGAGCTAAATCCCGGCCCTGGGACCACGTTCCTCAGTACTGGTTGTGGGCAGAAGTTAGAGGAGAAGACAGAGTGTGGAGATTAATGCCGCGTAGTGCGGGAACACGGACCCCAGGCACAGGGAGCTCCCTGGAGGTGGAGAACCGGGAAGGTACAGGAAGTCATGCCGAAGGGGAGCTGTCAAGTTGGGCCGGGACGCTGTGTGTAGGCTGAGCCAACTCCTGCACATACCTCGTTCCACTTTCCCAGCTTCTTGGGCAGGAGGAACAGCAGAGGCAGGGAAGCTAGGGTGACCAGGGTGAGGGACGGTGACCCCCAGAGCATGAACACCAAGGGACACAATCCTCGAAGCAGGTACCAAAGCAGCAGGCTCAGCTCGGAGCTCAGAGACTCACACATGGTGGCCGTGTCACTTGTCACCCGAGACGTGATGACACCTGTCAGGGTTGGGGGGAAGAGGGCAGAGGGCATAAGACCTCTTCAGAGAGATGTGAGGCGCTGACAGAGTTGGGGTGCCGGTGTGGGGGCTGAGGCTAATGAGGCTGGGGTTTGGGGTTGATGTGGGAACCTCGATGCAGGCAAAATAAGTGTCAGAGCAGAAGACCTAGAAGAAATTAATGTGCACGTAATTTCTGTTTGTCTGAACCTTTTGTCTTCCTTTAAAAAACCTGCATATCCCCTGCTGCACACAGGGTAGAAAGAGCTCAGCCCAGTCACCAGGTGGGCCCAGAGCATGGAGGTGCTGGTCAGGGCCCGCAGGAGCTGGAACGAGCCCTCCCTGGAAATCAAACCCCAAAGCTTTTCTCCAGCCATGTGTGACCATACACATTTCAGCGTCTGAGGTCTGGGCCTCAGTTTCCTTTTGAGGCAAAGAGGCCCTTACACTTCACAAACTGAAAACTCCTAGTTTTAAAATTCTGTAATTTCTAAGAATACATGGGCATATGGCTACGTGGGATACATGGGAATCCTGGATAAAAAGCGAGCTTTTCTTGAGGTAAAGAACACAGACTTTGCTCCTCAGGTACATTAAGATTAAATAACAATGTGATGTGGTAAATGCGGAAGGGAGGGAGGGGAGTTCAGCAAGCTTGGAAGGAAAAGAGCATGCGTGGTGATATACGGGATTGATCGATGCAAAAGGAAAGCACTTGGCGGGAAACCTGGTTGGTTCTTCTGGAAGAACTCGGTCTCCTGGCGCAGCACAGCCTGAAACACCTCTGCCTGCAGCCGGCTGTAGGCGCGGCCCATGGTGCTGTTGTACAGGGCATCGCACAGGAACTCCATCAGCCCACTGCAGAGACCAGGGTCAGGGCGCGCTCAGGGTAGAGAGAGGGAAGTCACCCCGGAACCCACGCCCAGGCCCAGGCCCAGACCTGGCTATGATGATGACGGACATGATCGCTATGTTCCGGGTGAAGTTAGTGGCTGTCCTGTCCCGCAGCATCCGGTCCGTGAGGTGGCCCGTGAAGAACGGGATGGCCATCTCCCCTGGGAGGGAGCGAAAGTCAGTCATCGGGACAGGGCAGGGAGGAAGGAAAACAGCTCACCGAGCCCCACACCTGAAAAGCCCAGGGGAACTCTCAGCCCTGCCGCCCGGTCGGGCTCTTGGGGGTTTAGGGACGGTCAGTGCAGTGGCCCCTAGTGATGAGACGTCCACCCCAGCTGGATTTCCGCTGGCAGCGGCCACACGGGAGGCCGCCTCCCTCCCTCCCGGGCCCCCCTCTGCACCGACGTGGTCCCTCAGGACCTGGGCCAGCTCGCTTTCTCCGACCCACACTTCCGAGGCCCCCACCATGCTTTCTCTGATCAGTACCCCGATTCCTGAATATCCCCGTGCCCCCGCCCCCACGTCCCCCTTACCCAGGCAGGAGAGGATCAGCAAAGCCAGAACCAGCGGGAGCCGGTGAATCTCAGCGCCCAGGAGGCCCAGCAGCCTGCGCACCAAGACGCTAGAGCCGCCAGCACCGCTGGGCACCCAGAGGCCCCCAAGTTTGTGCCACAGGGCAGCGGCGGG